AAAAAAAAACAAACAGTTAAGAAAAACTGAATGTTTTGGAAAAGATAAGGATCAACCTGCTGGAAAATCTACTCAAACGGACTTAACTATCGATGAGTTGACTCTAAAATTGGAACAACTTTATTTGGCCGCGAAAAAAATTGAATATTTTAACAAAAAACAGAAAAATCACCACATGCTTTAATGGGTCGTATATCAAATATAAACAAATTTGAAAGCATTAAAAAATATGTTTCCATGACGAGTACAGCAGCATTAAGTTGTTTTTATCAGTGGATCCTCACAATTATAAAGTTATAACAGTCTTTTAACGATTTGGCATATCATTTTAAAATTTTTACTTTTAAAATATTAATTAACATATGTGTGAGTTGCAAATTTTTTTTATGTAAAATAAAATTAATACTACAATGGTATCTGTTTTTCTAATTTGAACGATTGCACTCAAGTTATGATGATTGTTATATCATCAAACAACTATGGAAAAAAGCACTTTATTTTTAAAAATCTCTTTTGAATCAGAACATTGCAATACCAAGATGCATTGGGAACGGTTTCTAAATTTACACATTCAAAATGAAACCATTTTGTTTCACATATTTGTTGCTCACGTTGGATCGTCAACTCATGCAATGCAACATGCAACAAATGCAATTATGAGAAACTTCAGCAGCTCCCATTTCATTGGTGCAGAATTTACTCAAGAGCTAGTTGAGGAAACTTTTCACCTATTAAACAAAAATGTCGTTGCTTATAGTAGTATCCACTTTTAAAACAAAGGCAGATTCAAAATACTTCTAAGCTTGTATCTCCTCCTTAGTGTAAACGCTATGTGAAAACCCCAAATAACTTATAATATCTGGTGGAACTCCATTAATTGAATTATTTCAACTATCTATGTCTAAAATAAATGGATCTAAACCATCTTCTAATTGCAGTTTTATCTTCATCTCAAAATAACCAACGTACAAAATAGGACGCTGCAACAATTGCCTTTAACACTTCAGAACTTACCACACCAATGATTTTCTACCTGACTTAATTCAGTTGTTTGCCCTAAACGGCTATATTTGATCACTTGCTTTGGAATGCCAAATAGTATATTATGCAGCAAGTGTAGTAAACGGCATTTGTTTTGTTTTTTGCAGTAGCGGAGCGTAGGGCAGTGACTTAACGTAATGTGCCTTACATCTGATTCCAAAAATGCAAAATTGCGGATCTCCTCGAATTGCTGATTGAAATACGTTTTTTTGCACATTTTGAGTCGACAAATAAGTCCTAATTTCGACACTCAGTCTGAGGACGCTTTTTAAAATAAGCTTCTGGCGTCATTTTCATATAAACTACGATTTCCTGGCCTAATATTAGGACGAAAAATATTAATTTTGGAAGGATAAAAAAAATAGTAGGCAACATAAACAGGTGCACTGTTAGTGACTCATATTTGATTGCAGCCGCCAGTGATAGTTCACATATATCGGCAAAGTATTTTTGTATGTTTGTTGAAAATACGGCTCTTCTTCGTAAAACTCGTGCAAAAAAAAATTTGAATGAACCTGAACTTCTTTTTTTAAATTGGCTTAACAAAGCCAGACACCATTTGCACCTTTTACGTGCAAATGGCACCAAAGTAATGCCCGCTATTGCCTGTGCGCTGCCGTAAGTTCGTAATGAGTTAAATTGATTAAAATGTTTAAAAAATCGCTATATCTTCTTCCATTCTTTTTAATTACGGACGAACGATTGAAATTCACTGGACCGTGAGCAATAAGGAAATAGGGATTCTTTAGGAAATTTAATTGACGGTCCAATATCACCCGTCAAGTCCGACATTAAGCACTAATGTTATTGTCAAATTTAACCGTCGCGCTTTTAGAATTCTCAATAGATAAATATGTCGACAATATTGACACGACGGGATACAACTTATCTATTGATTTTTCAATTAGGACCAAGTCTAGTGGATTTTATGTATTATTTTTATATTATCTAAGTACAAATATTTGTTTCGATCATTAGACTTGTAGTAAATGTAGCCTTGTCAAACCGTTGTTTTCGATAATAATGTTTAGAGATTTCCCCGTCGAGTGTGTCACATTCCCGGAAATTTTAATTTTGGTAATGGCGGAATATTGTAAACGTCAAACGCAAGGGCAGAATGCGTATCGCGTGCCTTCATTAGATTAAATAGCATGGTTCACAATTTTGGTCAGGATTTCTTAGAATTTTACACCTTAAAGTCAGTCAGGAGAAGTTCTATTTAGGGTTGTCAACCGATTTAATTTTTAATTTTTAGTCCTTATTGCATTATAATCAATCCGCCACAGACTGATGCAAAAGCAAAGAGAGAAGGAGACTCAGGTAAAAACATTGGAATCCGAATTAATTAATGCTCAAATTTTACCCGATCTTGTCAAAAATTTGCTAATTTAAGAAAAAAAAATGGTGCAGATATTAAACTAAGATATTCACGATTCATCCATTTCTTAATTAAATAAAAAGATGATATTAAAATATGTTTAGAAGTATAAAGTGTATTGTATAGTTATTTTTTAAATAGATATAATGTTTGGATGAAGATTTGGCTTATTTTTTCTTGTATTCAGTATGTTTTTTGTTCGGTTTTAAGAATACAATTTTGTAACATTTTTGTTTTTTCTTGAAACACAAAAGCACCAACTTTACCTTCACTTTTCAAAATTTGACACCCTAGTTAAATCTAAACTTGCAGTTTCTTTTTAATAACCTATTTTTTCATTGTTAAAATGTTAAACGCATATTAATTGGCCAAGATCACCGGAAACATGGCAGAAAAAAAAACAATAGAGCACTACACAAACGTCACTGTCCTGTGAATTGGAGGTTGACAGTTTTATGCCCCTTAACTGAATCAGTTTTTATTGTTATTGTTATTTTAGGCAAAAAAGAAATGCCTATACGACGTTGTTCTAAAAAAAAAAGCAAAATATACTAATACTAAATGAAACAAATCAAAAAGACTTAGTTTAAATTTGCAACGACCAAAAAAAATCCATTTTTTTTATATGGCGGTTCTATTAATTGCCAAACCCTATATTCTAGAATTTTTAACTTTTTCTATTATTCTTTTAGAACTTTTGTAGGTTTTTATTTGGTATATTTAAAGAAATCTTTATTCATTTATTGATTTACATTTATGCCACGTTTTGCCCTCATCTTCCTTTCCAATTATAATATCCGAATGGCCTTTTTATCATGAAAAAACGTTTTATTGCTAATGAGGCAAAGTGGCCCTTTCTTAAATGTTCAATACATTACAATTGGGTGCTTCCATTTAGAAATCAACATTTTTTCATTTAATTTTTTCATGTTACTTTTCATCGGCCTATATTTATTTATTTTTAAAATGTCAACATGAACCATTAATAAAGTGATCCCCTTCTATGAAGAAATCAACCCCGAATATATAATAAATGTTTTCAGTCTCAGAAATCAATAACCTCCAAACGTCACTTTTGATTTATGATTAAAAATATGTCGGAAACGGTAACACGTGCTTTAATGTATAGAATGTTCTATTTAAAATAAAAAAGTTTTTTGCATCTCCAGGGAACTACAGACACCCTTGGCTAATCTAAGTATACCGATAAAGCAGCCCATCCGAACAGATTTATACCAGAGAAAACTTTCACCCATGGTTTTATTAATTTTGGGTATTTTCCATTAAATATTAAAACGAATTCCACTGCACTGAACACTATTTCCACTAGTCAAAACAGGCATTATTTAACCATTTTAAATCGCGAAGTTTATGACTTGTGTTTAAAGGTGTACATAAAGCGCACACCAGAATTCTGTACTTCTAACTTTTTTATTTTAGATATTAAGTTCTTATTTATATAAAAGAAAAGCAAAAAGCATAGTATATCAAAGTTAGCACTATATATCTATTATGTCACAAAAAGAAAGGCCCTTTTACGCTGATTTGAAACATAGATAACAAGTTATCATTATTGTTTGTTACGAATTTAACAGATTTTAATTTTTTTTAATGTTATATTAATTTGACTAAATCAGTTATTTAATAAGTAACATAATATGATGTTTAGTTCTTCATCGAAATTTAATGCGCCTGTCTTCCCTGTTTATTTCCATATACTGGCGTCTGGCCATATGCATTTTTATCAGTTTATACATAAAATATTTCGAATTTTATTATGGGTTTGTGATTGTCAATTTACCAATACCTTCTTCGAGCAATACACTAATACGATACTTAGCGATTTGGATAATCACAATAAAAATATCGACTCCATTTAGTACTCAGAACGATGCGACGGCGACGTAACGCACAATATAAATAAATATAAATTTAATTGCATTTCCCAAATTATTTCGGTCAATTGACTGGTTGTTGTGCGGGTGTTTGGAGCAATATGCTGCTAGTGAAGAACTTGCAAACGCTTAGTAATAACACGTCGTAATTAATTGATAAAGAATTAATACATGGAAGCATTTGCACCAAAAACTGCAAACATATGCACATACGTTAAACCTCCGTTTCTCATTAATAAACTCGTTGCTAAAATACAACAATTAAAAACTAATTATTTTTTTTTAATTAATTAATTAAACTTTAGTATTTGCCTGTTTAATTGATCTTGCACATTCTACAATATTTCAGGCTTCTTATTTATTTTTCTTATTTTATCTTATGTTTTCCTTGATTTTATTTATTTTTTCAGGGTTGACGCTAAAGTGTGTAAGCATCTACTTTTTTTTCCCTTTCGTATAAATATTTCTTTTACGTTTAAGTACTTGGGTGAGAGGGAACAACAGACATCCTTCTTTAAGGCCTCTTTAAGGCAGATGAACTGAATCTCGTCCGTTGTAGGATATATTAACTTGGAAAATTGTATTATATATATTTATTTATTTTCTACAAAAAAAGTCTTTATTATTATTATATTATAAATTATATTAACAAATGTGAAAAGAATTATCATTCATTTTTGTTTCAGCCTTTTCGAGCAGGAGATTATGTCTTATGTTCCGACGGTCGATAGTCGAACTACCGCAACGAGCGGTACTTCTAGAAGTCCCAGGAATTCGCCCCAACCGTCACCGATTGCATCGCCCGGTCTCAGCAGACATCGAGTGCCTGCGCCACATAAAAGAGATTTCGAAGCCAAATTGAGGAACTTCTATAGGAAACTAGAAAACAAAGGATACGGGCAGGGTCCCGGAAAATTCAAGTAAGTGCTATTTTATGTTAATTACCCACTGAGCCAATCCGGACCTGGACTTTTGATAGCTAACTTATATTTTGTTATAAACACACACAGAACAGAGGAAACAATTGAAAATAGGCCCTATCAATGAAGCGACCTATAGAGACGTCCACACGCGCATAGAAATAAACTTTGTGGTTGGGGACACAGAGGATAAAATTTACAATACAAATGAAGCAATAGCAGATTTGAAAGGAAAATCTGCAGCTTTTGATAACATTGTGGGAGAAGTATTGCAGAATTTGGGTCTACATAGCGCCAACATCTTAACCGTAATATAATATGAAAGCATGATCAGGGGCCCAAAGAGTGGTTCTCCCCTATATTTATACCATTTCATAAGTAAGAGTAAGTAGTAGGGTTCTATCTGGATCGACAGATCCCTAAGAACAGGAAGGTTTTGTGAAGGCCAAACTCATAGGAAAATTCATAAAATTTTATATTTGAAAATGAAAAATAAATTAATTCAATATTTCATTTCCTCCATTTTCCAATATGAGACTGAAACTGATTAATGTGGTGCTGGAGAGGCGCATGCTTCGAATTCCATGAATGGCAGACAAGTCAAACGATTCAATCCTTAGAAAACTGAACAACCGCAGTAGACTATAGATTTTTCAAACACATCGCGAGTATAGACGATGATAATTTTTTGAAACACAGAAGGATGGAGGTCTGAATGGCGCTCACCAACTCTATGGACTGATCAGATCCAAAAGGCCACCGGCACCTCGTTCTGCAAGTCTGTAAATATAGCTCAGGATCAAAGTCAATGGAGAGCGATAATGTATAGGGGGTCAGTGATCAGAACACACAAAATTTCAAATTTGTTATACAGCTTATAACTGCGGGATAACTCTGTAAGATTTTTATCCAAATAAATTAAATAAAATAATTAAAAATTAAATCAAAATATTTAAAATAACTGATTTTTGATAAATAACCTTTTGCGGTAAACAAAACAGCACCGCGATATTTTATTTAATCAAAATCTATTTGTACACAGTATTTAGTTGTGTTTCAAGTTTGGGAAGTCTACTTATTTGTTGTTCTTCAAACGACAAATATCAACATTAGAATAAAATTGAAGGTGAGAAAGAAAAATATAATAATAATTAGAATTACTAGGACTTGAGAGGGATTTAGATAGAATCCAATTTTTTATTTTTGCCATTGTAAAAATTCGGAGCACTGTTTTAAAATAAATTAAAATAACCTGCAGCCTTTGAAATGACGAATGCCCCAGACACTTCCAGAAGTAGTCATCCACATGTTACCCCAGGCGCAAATTTTAAGATATTAAATGTGTCTAAGACGTATTTAAAATTTTCTTGCCATACTTAACTGCGTTATATACTCATAAACCAAACTTTGCACATAATTTTGCATTTTATATGTACATGTACATTGGTTTTGGTTAAGTTTGACATAGCCAATCATGATAGAAATAAATTATGCATCACGTTATCTAATAATATATAGGGTGTTATACCGCAAAAAAAAATTGACAGCATATACACATCAGCCATATAATAATTTTTTTTTGGAAGATGATTCTTGTGGATCAATCACCAGTCAAAAGGAAAAATGTTACATCGACATCAACATTTTTAAAATAATTAATCAAAAATAAAATAATATACCGGGCGTTGCATTTAAAATAAAGAAATCGGATGACATGAGAGGCTTATGAGATACTCTCTGTAATACAGTACGCTCATAAAAAACAAACTTTGTAGTTAAAATTTTTCAAAATAAATAAGAACTAAAAGTTCAGATTTTCACGAAATTATATATTTTGACATGACAATTGTTTCCACAACACCGTGTCTTTATCAAATGTTGTTGATAAAGACATGGTGTTGTCGAAACAATTGTCATGTCAAAATATATAATTTCGTGAAAATCTGAACTTTTGGTTCTTATTTATTTTGATAAATGGATTTTCATCAAGTAAAAGCCTCCTCAGTTCAATTTTTAAAATTTTTCCAAAACAAACTCTTATGGAACTATTAAAGAATCCCGCAGTAGCCTGTATAATAACATTTTTTTTTTACAATTTTTAATTATAAAATAAAAATATCACGCATATCATTGCAGACAACTTTTAGTTCAGCTAAAGCCTAAATTTGTTTTATTAGCAGAAAAGAAATTTACAAAGAGTAAATAATGTAGAAGAGCAATAAAAAGAGAAAGGGAGAGAAAACGAATGAGACAAATTCAGCAGAAATCTATTCTATTGGTCATAATGATGATGATGATTTTTACTACTAAATTAATGTCTAACCAAAAATCGGAATAATAATGGAGGATCTCAACCAACTGCCTTTCTGGCATGATCAATGCCGATGTTGAGGATGCTCTGAAAGAGATTGAGATTGGAAGAGATTAGCTTATTTAAGTTTCTAACAGAAAATGTACTCTGCTATTCAGACTAATCAAACTTATCGTTCAAGAATTTGTGGGTGTGGCCACTAATTGAGGCTTTTCTGTTATATACGAACCCAATAGACGTTTCAAAGGTAACCTTATACTTTTTTTAGCCAGTTGATTATGAAAATCATAATATTTATCATCAATCATAATATTTATTTATATTATGGATTACTGCTGTTGCGAAATTCTCTTGCATTTCTATTCCGCAATTTCAAGGATAGGGAGTAAAAATTTTCCTTTTTTCAATCATTGGTTCGCAAACGTATGCAAAGGGCATCAGCTGCATTAAACACTTTCCCAAGTTAATTCAGACTGCGGTAGATTTTAGCCACGAATGCTATTTTGTCCTTTGTCAACCGTTCACCCAACTCCTTTGTTTTTCCAAAACAAAATTACTATGTTTGTGTCCAAGTTCAGAGAAATATATTTTTTTCTAGGTTGCACATCAGAAGAGAGCACCTTTTAGAAGATGCCTTCAGAAGGATCATGTCGGCCAACAAAAAAGAACTCCAAAAAGGAAAATTGTGTATTGTGTGGGATAATGAAGAGGGTTTGGATTATGGAGGTCCATCGAGGGAGTTTTTCTTCTTGCTATCTCGTGAATTGTTTAATCCCTATTACGGGCTATTTGAATATTCTGCTAATGACACATATACCGTCCAGATATCGCCTATGTCGGCTTTTGTAGATAACTATCATGACTGGTGAGTTGCGTTACCTATACGTTATGTAATCGGTGGTTTTCCTTCTATAATGCACAAAACTGTAACACTAAAGAAACTGAATGTTGACGAAAAAATTGTTACTATCGGTCGCTTTGCACTTTAGTTGCTTAAATATATTCATATTTTTTAGAGTGATAGAGAAAAGTAAAGCACGACTAAAAATAAGCCATATATGAGAGGTACCGAGGGTTGTTGCTTATATTTCTAGCCTAAAAGAATATAATTTTAAAATGGGACAGCACGTGGCGATTGCTATTGTTCGGCTGCAGTCGTCCAATGCCGTTGCCTAGGCAATCAGTCAATGTCTCATTATGAGTTCTCATTTGTGCGTGTTTATTTTTTAGGGCTCTGATAGTTGATTTAAACAATTTGTACAAATATGGTTCAAAAAAAAAAATAGTAAAAAAGGGAAAACTATGCTACCTCAATGCCCCTCGCGGCAAGCGAGTGGTTTCGGGTTTGCGGGCGTCTGCAATCGGTCACGTGATAGTGTCCCATTGTAAAATTACGTCCAATCCAACAGTGTTGACGTTTCCAATCCGAAGTTTTACATTTTAAAACCATGAGTAAGTTTCGTTCACATAACTTGAAAAATTCATCCTGAACAAAAAATGTAACAACTTGAGCAATCATTTTTCTAGACTTTCAACGCGAATTATCGAGACAAGAGTGCATAGATGAACTTACTCGCTTCTTTAGTGATAAAGCACCATCCTATAGAAGTGTAAAAAACTGGTATGACTAATTCAATCGTGATCGTCGTTCACTTCAGGACCAATTTTATGCACTTCGGATTGGATCCTACAAAATTTCATAAACGCTCAAAAGAAGGTCAGTGTCGATTGGTCCAAGGAAATTTAAAAAATCAAGGAGCATCGAAGCTTATGTATAATATCTACACGGTTGCCAACTGTATGGATCTTCCAAAATGTACATCGAAGCAAATTCTTGCCAGTTTCTTTGACATTACTGCTCACATTGCGTTAGAGCAAAGCAAGTCAATCAATTCTAAATGGTACAGAACTATTTGTTTATCAGAAGTTATTGGGGAAATTCAAAAAAAGCGAAAGATAAATAATCATTTTTCATCAGCACAATGCGGGCTCTCAGCGGCTCAGACAAAGGAATTGTTGACCAATAACATCGAATTGCTCTGCAGCCCTGTATATTGATTTTCAAGAGTATTTTGAAAAATAGTAAAACTCATTATGATAATTATTTCTTCATTTTTAGACCAGAAATATAAATAGCAACCCTCGCGCGATTAAATTGACTTCCATATTATAATAATTGCTAGTGTTACATTTTGCCCTTTCTTTTAGTAGTTCTATGATCAGTATTTCGTTATGTCGTTATACAAGATGTTTCAGAAAATAAGAATGGTAAAAAGTATCGAAGTTACCAAAAAGAACTTTCTTTCTTCTTGAAAAACTATTAGATTTTAACTAACGCTTGTGTTTGACTATGAAAATGCCCTTTTCTTCTATAATAGTCTCTAATTATTATTATTCAGATATACTACTCGGTATGCAAACAATGTTAAATTAGACCCTACTACTTAATTTTGTTCTAGGTTTAGATTTAGCGGAAGAGTATTAGGATTAGCGCTAGTTCATCAATATCTTTTGGACGCGTTTTTCACACGCCCTTTTTACAAAGCTCTGCTGAGACTCCCCGTGGCTTTGTCAGATTTGGAAAGCTTAGATTTTGAATTTCACCAATCCCTACAGTGGATTAAGGAACACGACGTGTCACTGCAAGGAGAACTTGAGCTTACCTTTGCCGTAACGGAGGAAGTATTCGGGCAAGTTTTGGAGAAGGAATTGAAACCGGGAGGAAGAAATGTTCCGGTCACAGAGAAAAATAAAAAGGTTGACGACGTTTGACTCGTTAAGGTTCGATAGGCAATAGTGACGGGCTTTTTTTAGGAGTACCTAGAAAGGATAGTAAGGTGGCGCCTAGAGAGAGGAGTTTCAGAACAAACCGAATCTCTAGTTAGGGGATTTTACGAAGTCGTTGATCCTAGATTAGTAAGCGTTTTCGATGCCAGAGAATTAGAATTAGTTATAGCCGGTACAGCAGAAATAGATTTGCTGGACTGGAGAAATAATACAGAATACAGGAGCGGGTATCATGATCAGCATCCTGTTGTTGCTTGGTTTTGGCAAGCAATCGAAAGGTATATTCAAACAAAAATAAAAGTTGAACAAACTATTCTGTTTACCATTTTTTCTTTCAGGTTCACTAATGAGCAAAGGTTGAGATTATTACAGTTCGTTACGGGTACTTCTAGTATTCCATTTGAAGGCTTCGCCGCGCTTAGAGGCTCGATAGGTTCTAGAAAATTTTGCATAGAGAAATGGGGAAAGCCAAATAGTCTACCAAGGGCGCATACTTGTTTTAATAGGTTAGATTTGCCACCCTATCCAACATTTGAAGTTCTGTTTGAAAAGCTTCTGTTGGCAGTTGAAGAGACTAATACGTTCGGTATCGAATAGATATAATTATTATTGTTGTTAATGGTACTTAATGTTGATACATTCATATTCGTTTTCGTTAAAAGCTAGATGTTGCGTGTTCCGAGTAAATTGTACAGCGTGTTGATTTTTCGTTGTCATTGCATGGTTTATTTTCGTGATACAAAAGATTCCGTTTTCGAAGCATTCCTAGCTGGCTTTGTTTTTAGGATACAAGATGAAACAGAAAATTTGGCCAGTTCAGTTAAACATTCAGTTCAGATAAACACGAAACCTTATAGACCTCACTTAGAATCAAGTGAAATACTTTTGTTTTTAACTTTTAAGATATTAGGAAAACTTTTGTTTTTTTATGAAACATTCTTTTTTTTTAAATGAAAAATATTTTACCCATAAAGAATTAGCAAAATGTGTCAAACATGGGCGTTTCGAACATCCATTGTCTATAAACGTTTTTAATACGTTTTTTCTAGAAAGTATCACTAGCAATCGTCACGTGTCAAACATGTCTGGAAGCTGATGGACAGTTTTTTTAATATTTACTAGTTTTTTATAACATCCTAATTTTATTATTATAATCAGAAAAAACTAGAGAATAAAAAACTAGTACATATTTTTTAAAAGCAGCTATCAGCATTCAGACATGTTTCACATATTTTGAAAATTCTTCTTTGGGCATTTACGAGGTCAATAGGTCTTGCTTATATTTCTTAAAGTACTTGTTTACATTTTTACATAAAAGGCTCAATTCATTTTTTTTTTAAATACACATTATGTTTTATTTAAATTACTTTTGGCTTGTGACTCATTTATAAAAAAATGTGAATAAGAAGATGTGAGGTGAGAAGAGGTCTCAAATTATAATTTTTTTGAATGTCTGGCAGCTGATTGCAGTTTGAGCAATTTTTTAAGGTTACTTTTGTGTAGTCTATTCGTATTCCTTTAAATAAAATAATAATTCAAATATTTTTTAAAATATGCATGACGTTTAGCCTGTATCTTAAAAATTAGATATTGCTAAAAAATCTGAATACGCTTCCGGATTCTACCCAAAAAGATCTATAGGGTTTCGTTTTCAACATGTTTAAAATACAAACTGTAACTGAAATGGCCAAAATTTTCTATTTCACGCTGTATTTTAAAAACAAAGTCAGCTAGGATTGTTTTAAAAACGGCATTTTTTGTAAATAACTGACATACATTACAATAACAAAGAAAAATGGACATACTACACATTGTTGAAAAGTTCTTTGTTCCTCTTTAAAAATTTCAAGTTAAAGCCAGTAGTAGTACTGTACAGCGGTATTTTGTAAAGCGTAGGAACAAATGCCAGTTTAACCATAGGTATATATTAATATAATCTGTAACCAACGATTTTATCACCAAATAATTCTTTCGTGGCTAGAAATAATTTATGTAGAGTAATTTATTCCCTTTCCTTTAACATTTAGCGTTTGTATTATAGGTGTGTTTTTTCTTCAGTTTTTCTCTCGCGACAAGTTAATTTCTTATTAAACAGCTGCTAAGGGTTTAACGGAAGAAAAATTTTTTGTACATAGATCACTCACAAATATTGATATGTAAATTTCGCATTTATTTGTTTTTATTTATACAAGTCAAGCTATAATTTATTTTAATGTTAAGCTTTTACAAATGTAGTTACCAAATGATAATATACTATTTGTTCATTTTTATATAAAAGAAAAGGTAAAATGTGATTTTTAAAAGTCTAGTCAATATTTAAGAGGTATAAACCGAAACAAAAGTTGAATGCTTTCATTAAATCGCAAAGACATGTTTGCCATTTTACTTCTGCCTTCTAAGCTACTTCTAGAATGAATTTCGTGACCTCACTGTATAAGGGAATGACGCTCAATTAGGTGATCATAAAAACGTGGATTATATTCAACTATTACAAAGTAAAACGTTCAGTTAACCTTGACAAATTAAGAAATATGACTCACCCCCTTATGCAAGGAGATAAGAATCGTTTTTCTCCTGGATTTAAAATGATCTGTAACATTCCTCAAAATAAACAGCTGTTCCCAAAAACCGTGGTTTTTCATAATTCAGCCTTGATATCCTGATTGTTGGGTTGTAGCAAAGTTTCAGGAATATTCAGGGGATTTAGTAATGATCCTTCCTAAAAAAAAAATAAACATAATCAGAAAACAAAAGGTTTTATTTAGTAAAGACAAACAAATTATTTTAAACATTAAAATACATATTTATTTATGCATGTCCATTTATAATATTCTCATCTCTCTCTCTATCACAAAAAAAAATTATCCCTTCAAGTTTTTCAGCATTTTCTAATTTGATGTAACTCCTTTGCATGCGATAAATGCATCATAAAAAATTACACAAACAAAATTAAATGATCTATTGCAAGGTGATAGAAAAAAAGTTAAACTTAATTTTATTACATATTTTTTCAAGAGATACTTGTCAAGCAATCTTACTTTGTAAAAAGCCTAAAATATATATATTTATGACAATATATATTTGCGGGCACAATAAATAAAAGTTTATTTGAGATTAACAAGAGGCTGTTATTTCCATTGACATTATAATATATTATATCAGCAAGGTTTAAACTGTGACTTGTGAGATGCATAGAATAGTGAATTAATGATTTTGTTAAAATCCACAAGAAAGCAGTATAGGTCACTTTCATAATTTCTATTGACGATAGTTCAATTTGTTACCTAATAATGTTACAAGTATTTTTGTGATTTGCCCTTTAACCCTGAAACCCGGTATAATTTTAGTTGTCACCCCAAAGATATTTTAGAAATAATGTTTATATAAACAATACAGAACAGTCTGTTACATTCAGTGGGAATTCCTGTCAACATGACCTGACCAAGTCAAGGCATGTAATGTAATGACAGATAGTGACATGCTTTGGTTTTCTATAGCCATTTCTATTGCACTTCGATTTTTGTGGTGGCAAACTTTTGTAATAACTGTGACAAAAACGGTTGATAAATTCGATAGGTATCAATTTAGGTATATGCCCAGACCTTATTAACTGTTATGGAAAACTGAATAAAATTTGTGAAGATCGCTGTTTAGAAAGAAAATAGTGCAATGACTTAGACAGACAGTACAGAATGTGACAAATGTTTAATATAAAATAGGTTTTTCGCTTTTTTGAAGAATCAATTTCAATTTCACCCAAATTTTAGTGGTACCTTAATTTTAATGTGAAGTTCATTTAATGCTAAATAAAAGTGAATGGTTTATTCAAACTTACCCTCTTAGAAGTTAATGATTCAAAATTATTGATACTTTCAAAATATTTTTTAGTTTGGTACAAATATTCTCCTTGAAGATTTGTTGACATATCCTCTAAGCATTGTTTTAATAAATAGCCATCTCTTTCAGATAGTTCCTTGGGTGACTTATCATTACAAACATCGGACAAAAACATATAACAATCTCTGAAAAAACATGAATGGTCAATTCTAAAAACAATAAGCGCTACCAGCCATTACAGGATGCCCTACTAAAAAAACTTTTCCAAAATATGAGAATTCGGTATTCCAAAGTAGATGGTACAATATCAGCCTATAGCCTTGGCAATATGACAGAATTTTCACTAATAATAAAAAATAGGTATCAACTTATTTTATGTGAGTTTCTGAGTTGAGATTTTATTTATCGTTTTTTTATTTTTAATATTTTCCTGTGGTAAATTTTTCCAAAATATATGATTTTACTTTGTGTACCTAATGCCTTTTTTTAGCTGTAGTTGTAAGACCAGATCTAAGGATGTCTTGGTAGGACATCCTGTATATATTTAAAGGCATTTTGAAACAAATTTTGTTGTGCTCAGTTACCTCAAACATATGTCACTTTCTTCTGCTTTTTTTTCATAGAGCGCTATATACTTGAAAACTCTGGATAAAATATTTTGGACCGGATGTTGCTGCGATAGATTCACTCTTTTTATGATTTCAATCCAGCTTACAGTTTCATTTGTCCCACTCGTAGGAGACCATCTTTCTTGGGCCATTTTTTTGTATTTATCGATCATATACCTTATTTCTCCTATGCTCTTGTTGGGCATATTAAGATGAAGAGTTTCAAGGTCGCTGGCGCCATATTTTTTTAATAAAACCAAGAACTTTCGTTTGTCCTCAATCGACCACTCTACAGTCACTAAAAAATAGTAATAAATATGTATTTTAAGTTGGGAATAACAAAACATTAATTTCCAGAACAAACAAAAATACAATAAGCTCTAGTCAATATTTAAGGAGAATATTGGGTGTTCAGATAGCCAACTAAGCACTCTTTGATAAGGCAGGGGATTTTGAATTTGCGATTAAAGGATTAATAAATATACTGTAAAAACCAACAGTTCGACTTCACATCATATCCACCATTAGGTTCACAAGCAAAACAAAAAAGTGTAAAAAAATTTATTTGAACACAAAAGACATTCAAATACAAAATATGTCATATATTTTTATATTCATCTAACAAATTTTCAAGTTCTTGAAATGCATTTATGAAGTTATCTTCTTCCAATCCAAATTTTTTATAATGGTGTAAGTAGGCCCCATGTACAAATGACGTCCAGGCATCTTTTATTAGAGAATTCAAAGGTATGTATATCCTGTTACTATTTAATATCAAAGTAACATATTTCTCAAAGTCAAGAAATTTTTTTTTGTTATGAAATGATTTGAATACTTCCTCATTTGGAATCCAATTGACAAATTTTGTGGAATGTTGATAAACCTGTTTGTTAAACACAAAATTTTTAGATCCATGTGTCATCAAAGCACCTGATATCAGCTTCATATTGAAAGAGTTTTCTTTTAAAAGATGCAAATCATACCTGGATCCTTTGAATGTGGAGCAAACTAAAGCATCCCAAGATCTAATACCTTCAAACTTCATATTATGCTCTCGAATATATGGTTCTGTTTGAATTTCTAAATATTTGAAACAAGGATAAGCAGTTAAATTGTTAAGCAATGTAATATCTTCACTTTGCACAGCAGATACTAATTGGTTGGATAGTACCAAGTTCAATTGTGAAAATGACACTTGCTTCTGGTTAAGTATATAAGAACAAATATTAAAAAGTTTTTCGTTTTGAAACAATATTGTTCCACTACTGATGGAATGCAAATGAGATAGAGTCAGAAGCGAATTGTAACACTGTGTTGAAATTTCTCCTTTTGAATTGGCCAATACCGAACAATTCAAAATATTTTTTTTAGGATATTCATCCCTCAACTGTTCTATGATGTAACTTCCCACTCCAGATCCTGTCCCACCAGCCAAACCATATATATTAAGAATACTGGTTAAAAAATCACATTCCTCTACTTCAAGACGAACACAATTAAGTGCTTCGTCTACAATCTTCCTACTAAGTTGAAAATATCCAAACGCCCAATTATTCGCAGCACCTCCGAAAGATTTTGCAACAACATTTCTGAATTTAAAATTCGATCTTTGGACATTGTCGGTTACTTTTGTTTCGGTATCTATTAAAACTGAGCGAGGCTCCCAAACACCGTTTCTGTTTGTTCGAAACCATTTTTTTTGCAAGTAAACATCATCTTTATAGTTGAGTTTAATATCGTCGTCAACTACAGAATAAAGGGTTTGTCCTATTTGATTTCCGCACTGTCCAAATTGCAACGAAATAACGCTCATTCGTAAAAACAATTAATATCACACTTACTTTCACTCAGTCTTTTAAAAATCACAAAAACAAACAAATTTTCTCCAAATTTTGTATTACGCTGTCACAGAATACTAGCCGTAGTCTGTGGCGCTGTGATAACTGCTGCTTCCTCTTTACTTAGTTAACTTTACTTCACTGAGACCACTCTCCCATTATCTATTCCATATTTTATCTAACGGTAAATAGTGGAAAATGTGGACTTGTACAGGCAAGAATCGAGAAAATCAACAATACTAGCACAAAATTGTGCTAGCAAATAGAGTTGCAACATCATAGCAATCTCGTAAGAACAACTTCGCAACAGACTTAAAGTTGCTGATATTTGACGTCCTCACAAACTAAGCGTACCAGGACAGATTTACCGTTTTCTGGTAGAAAGTGACTACGCACAGTATAAGACATTGTAGTACTTTCCCACTGTCAAATTCGCCACTACATATTCACTGTTATACCTTCTTCCCCCTTTAAATTGTTAGCAAATGAAAAATTAAATTTTGTATACTACAAGAATATATTACAAGAAAATAGCTGTTCAAAATTTATATAAACAATAATAACAAAAATACAAATTGATTCTTTATCACTGTATATGCCCGCTTTCTTTAAGACGAGAGATTAAAGTATCCACATCTGGAACAATAGTACCGGCCTGCCTAGTTGGTGGATCTTCAACACTTAGAATTTGAACTCTTGGGCTGGTATCAACGCCTAAATCTTTTGGAGTAATCTTCTGTAACGGTTTCTTCTTGGCTTTCTAAACAACAAAAATTATAATATAATAATATATAAAATAAAATATAATTTTTAATTGATTTTTTCTTAAATAAACAACCAACAATTATCCCTTCTTCTATTTCTGAGAAATTGTGACAACAAATACAACACTACCGACAAAAATTCTAGATTAAGGATTGTGTCTCTCAGAACGCATATTGGAAAATATTTCCCAATAAGTTGGCATTTCATAGTTTAATTGTAGAAAACGTTGCTCATTCCGATTTTGAAACATATTTGATATTAAATGTTTGAGGTAAACGCTTGTGACACTACTTACTATAACAGCGCCCTCTATGAATATCTATCTATATTAAAAAACTATAAACCTTAAGAAACTTAAGAATAATTGTATATATGTATTTATCACATTTAAATATTTGAACAACACATATTTTGTTCAATAATTATTATTTGATTACCAGAATTAGTGAAATATACATATACTGATTTTTCAACCTGAAAGCTTACCATAATATTTGGTAGAGTAGCATATCTTGGTTCGTTTAACCTTAAGTCGGCGCTGATAACAGTGGGCAACTTGCACTTTACAGTTTCTAATCCACCATCAACTTCTCTCGTAACAGTCAACTCTTGGTCTCCCTTCTCAATCTAAAATTAATTATTTGGAAAACATTTTTCACATTTACTTATTTATCTATTATTTTAACACTGTGAAAGTAATTTTCCATCTAGTGGAATCAGTTAAATAAAAAAGCCGTCAGACTCATTAGTCCACACAAAGGTGCTTAGGAAGTGGATTGGTATATTATAACTAAAAAAAACTACGAACACAGTATAGCCGAATTTGTAAGCCTCCATGATACTCTAAAACGTGGTTAATACGACCAATGGGCACGTTTCAAGGCCAACACAAAATACAGAGATATCTTTCTAAAAAGCAATCTCCAAACATTTAATTCGTTTTTGCTCCCTAGAAATTCAATGGGATCTGAGCTATATTTGGCCAAAATTGTGCCAAAAAAATGCCACACCCAAACTGAAAACTGTTGATTTGACAAACTATCAGAAACCATTTTAATTGTTGAACGCCGAAAGGTCATATTGGATAACAGGAAGATTTGAACTAAGAAATCTTAATGTCTAGTACCCATATGGTTGATAAAGACCAGGGATGTGTATTATCGATGCATAGTTATTAAGTTAGGTATTACCTTCGAGCAAAATGTTGCCTGCGCCCACCCTAAAATGCCTGCTGTCATCTGAGCAGTCTGATTGCAGTCATCATCTATTGCCTAAAAAAACAATATAGTGAAATATTTGTACTAATGCTTTTCGCAGTGAAATATAAAAAAATAAACATTTTGAAAAAACAATTAATCTAAACTAAACCAACCAAAACTATCCCTTTGTCGGCTTTAATACCAACTTAATTTCTATTTTGTCAAGTGTTAAAAAAGATACCTGTTTGCCCACTATTACAATATCCACTTTTTCATTTTGAGCAATTTTTGCCAATATTTTAGATACATGGAGAGGTTGTAATGTTTCATACTCTGGACCTGCAACGTCAACATGGATGGCTTTATCTACTCCCATTGCTAAAGCAGTCCGTAACACCTCTTGCGCCTGTGGAGGACCACACGAGACAGCTATTATTTCCGAAGCAATCTTTTTTTCCTTTAATCTAATGGCTTCTTCGACTGCGATCTCATCAAACGGGTTCATGGAATGTTTTACGCCTTCAGTGACCACACCAGTCTTGTCAGGTTTTACCCTTACCTAATGCACAACATTATTGAACGTTACATATACACAGTTAGATTTAATGTATTGATTATAGCAAATATCAGCAAAATACCCCTGTTATATGTCAGTCACAGTCACCACAAAATTATAAGAGAGTAATCAAATATTGACAATTTGACTCATAGAAGCCCTTACTGCTTAAAGAATGAACCAATTTAAGTTCAGCAAAATATAAGCAGGTATTATATTTTTCCTTAGTGGGATCAATTGTAAATTGACTTAAATTTGTATGGTTGTGGTTGGGTAGTGCGTTTCTTGAGATACTCGCTGATCTGAGAAAATATGCGCTATGCAACAAATACAAAAGATCTAAGATAGTGCAAATTTGAAAAAACAGTTGAAAACTGAATTTCATTGCTTTTAAAAATGAGAGCTCAAATTTGTTTAATAAGATCTTTTATACCTGAGGTTTCGAAATATAATATGGCTGATTCTTTGGCAACAACGCTTTTATTCAGAATTTGATTTGGGTATATATGAAACCCGACAATAGAGAGTGTACAAATTTAGTTCGCACAACTGGTATTTCTCTATAGCTTAAATTGTTTTTGCGATATTGACATGAAAACTTGAATTCAGGATTTTTGGAGATATTGATTACAATTACTGGTAATGATTTCTAAGTAAAAAAAATATACTTCATTTATTGCAATAAAACCCACAGAGATATTTGCATTGTAATATTATATTCCAAGTTAACGGAAACACAATTCACTAAAAATGGGTAGGCTATGGATTAGAAATGAACACATTCACATTGACATTAGCATTGACATTCATCAATTTAAATTTAAAGTCCTTTTTGAAACTGAACAAAAAATATTTGAGTCATATGTATGAATATGAACACATCAAATTCGCGTGATATTGTATTGTTGCCGACGAATAAATCAGAAAAAGATCACTGAAATCACTGTTTTTTGTTTTGTTTTGTTTTTTTGTGTTTTGTTTTTTTGTGTTAAAATGTCAATGTCTCAGAAATCGTGTGTTTGATCAAAGGAAATTTAGTATACACTTTAGTATACAGTTTTACTTCGAAAAAAATAACCAAAACTAGCGCCCTCTATGTATTATCTCAAAAAAAAGAATTTCAGATGGGATGAGCGACATTTTACTAAGCCATATACTAAACCATATACCCATTGATTAAGGTGAATATAGTACCTATCATTTTTTTCTAAAAGCAATCGTTAATTACTTAATTTTGGTTTAGTTCCCTGTCGAGACCCTCTAGATTATTTTTATAATATATAGAAAAATGCCAAAAAAAAATTACATGTAAGTTTGAAAATTGTAAAAATTTTGATCTCTGCAGATAACCCATGTGCCCTTCAAACACAACGCCTGCATTTATGTAGCATATTAATTTAGACTCTGAGAAGTAATTAATTTCTATAAATTGCAATGATAGATGCTAATGAGGCTTTACAAAAGAATATCGCGATGCAACACCGAAATTGAAAATTAAATTTAGGAATAAAGAGATGACCGTGATTTACAGACCTACGGTGTTGAGCTGACATGAGATGTTTTCTGTGCCGTGCGAACCTTCTTTATGTGTATTAGAAAAACTGAAATTTTTGGTTGACCAAGATCAAGTGTCTTTGTTTTTTATGAAGAAGTTTGTTCTGCATTAAATTATCAATGAGCATAATTTATCATATCTAAACACTAGGACTAAAAAACACTTTTTTTTTCACAACAGTAAAAGATTTGTTTCTCAAAAATCAAATTGTTTTTGTGTCAATTGATCAGTCAACTGACAGAATTAATTTTATAAATACAATGAAATTTATATTTATTTATATTGTGTTCCATCGCAAATCACATCGTTCTGAGAACTAAATGGAGTGGATATTTTTATTATACATTAAGAAGTGGTCAATTGACCAGCCCCAACACTACAAAATCCAATCATTTTATTACTTAGTATAAGAAAACATTTTTAATTTCTATATTTCAATCATATAACCGTGAGAAGGCATCGAACTTAGAATATGCAACCAATTACACGCTTACATATTTTTCTTCAGTTGTAAAGAAATATTAACTTTCTTCGTTTCTGATTTATCAAACTATTATTTAAGTTAAATTTTAATCAATTTTGCTATTACCAAAATAATATTTTTTCTGCTGATTTCTAATACTCTTTTACCGGAAAAACTGGAAAATTTTATCACAATAAATAAGGAATATATAAATTTTCAAGCATAATCTCCTAAAATTTGATAGAGCCAATGTTTTTTTGCCATCCTCAATTTGTTGTACCAGAATAATTATAAGAAAAAAAATAAAAGATAAGCTTTTATCAGCTTTGAGATATATAAAGGAAAATATTTAATGGGCAGCCTCTTATTTTTGTTTGTTCAATTAGGATTTCCAAAAATATATTATTTCCCACATTAATAATAACAATTTCTAGAAATTGTTTGTTCAGTAATACTTTATTTCCTTATTTATTAAATGTTCAAAAACTAACCAAAAACGAGGATAAGATCAATAGTTTAATAAAGAAAAATTTTGAGATAATGACACAAGATTCAGCCATTTAATGGTAGATCTATTGCAACATTTTTATAATTTATTTTGATCATATTTTAAGGACAGATTTTTACCTTAACTGCATAATCAATTACTCTTTTTACACCAACTAAGACACGAGCCATTTTAATTTCAAACAAACTATTATAGAAGGCCGAATAGAAGGCACAAGCAGGATTTGGACTTTGCACTTTGCTTGTCAACAGTTTGAACACAAAATTAGGTTAACTTGTCAACGTGTTGCATGGTATAATTAAGAATTAAAAAAGGTCGTTGCTGATTCAAGATGCAAACTGTGTGGCAATCATCACAGATAAACTCTACTTTCATTCAACATGAGACAATTAATAAAAAGAAATAGTTTTATCATAATACAAATTTCTGATCTTAACTCAGACAAATTTTACTATGTTGCATACTGTTTACGTCCCAATATTGAGTGATAATTCCAAATTGTTCTTAAAGTATTGCAAGTTTTTAGCGATTTTTTTCTCTCTTCCTTTTATGCTATTCGTAACCCACCAAATTTGCTCTAAGTCTTTTGACCTGTAAAATTAACCTCAATCTCAAACCTGAAATTTTTTTTGTGAAATGGATTCAAATAAAAAAAGTACCAAAGAGGATTTAAGTAAATATGACTGGATAAGTTTGCGAAATGAAATGGATGAAGGGAAAACTATTGAAACTGCTGCAGAAAAATTCCGCAGAAAGTTTTCTGAGGAACCTTTTATACCAATAGGTAGGAGCCAGAGGGCTCAGCGCAGTTGATGCATTAATAATTTTACAGGCGCATTAGCAACTGCGACTGCTCTTTCTGTTGGACTTTGGAGCTTTCGAACAGGTAGAAGAAAGCTGTCACAGTATATGATGAGAACTCGAATTGTAGCCCAAGGTTTTACAGTTGCTGCTTTGGTTTTTGGAATACTCATGGGCGCCAAAGGCATTGCAAAATAACTTTATTGAGCAGTTCACTTTGTTGACTTAGCAAGTACAATATGCTTAAATGTAAATATAACTTTTGATTATGCTAGGAACCTGTGCATAAAAAATTGAGAACTCCATTAAGCGTTTTCATGTATGTTAATTAAAATGAAAATTGAAATGAAGTACAAACAAAAGTATATCAGGACTTGCTATAAGGAAAGCTCCTTTTTTACTTGGCAATTTTACTGTTCCTAGTTGTTTCACATTCCTTCATTACAAAGGAATTGGGGCATACTATTCAATTTTAAATAAAACAATCATTTTTTTATTCTTTTGGATTTATGATTTGATTAAGGTGATTAGAAATATAATCTCAAAAACAGAAAAATTCTAAAATTAGCTGTATTATGTATTCTAGTGACATTGCTGAATGTTCAGGACCTGCAATTAAAAAAAAATGCGTTCACCAATTTAACCAAATACTTGCAATGTAATAAAATTGCAACAGCTGATGGAAAATATTGAAATTGCAACAGTGAAAAGTTGCCAAGTGAGAAACGGGTTTACGACACCATAATAAAATAGTTTCAAAAAGTGCTTGATTTAATTTATTAAATTTTATGAGTAGTAGGCTTCGAATTTATTTGATGTCTGTCGCCTTTTATGATGTCCGTAGAACGAGATCGACGTTGTGACTTGCATTCAATGAACTCCTTACCTTGTATAGAAAAATGAAGTTGGGCGAACGACCCACACAATGTTGGCTATATCGTGGTCGCAAAAGCTAAGAATGCGAGAGGATCGATAAGTTACTAACTTGAAGTTAGTAACTTAGTACGTCGTAGTAGTTAAATTAAGCGACTATTTAGTTAATTAGGGTCAAAGTGTTCATTTGAGTATTAAATAAGAATTTCAAAGAACATTCGTCACAGCTTGAGAATAGTCCATACTAAAATGCTCAATTCTATCGCAAGATTCTTAGATTATTGGTATTTCAGGTATTTGCTAGTCACGGAATTGTTTATGGTGGAAAAATGGGAACGGCTCATGTTTCGTATCCTTTTTGTAAAAAAGAAAACCATTAACATTTTTTTTTATTGTTCCTTATTGTTTATTCCAGATACTGTACTATTTGGATTTCTTTTCTTTATTGCCTTATTTAACAAATTGGTGCTCCTGGGAATGGTGAACGTGTTTACCACTTCAGTACTTTGGTATAAGGTTTTCCCCGAACATAGTGAGGGAATTAAAATTTCCAATTTCAATAATAATCATATACCTAGTTTTAGATTTTATTAATAATCAAATAAGAAATATATATAGTCAGTGTCTCAGAGTTTCTGATTTATGTGTTCTTTTAACATGTGCACTAAGCGAGCTTTGATGTATAAATGATTTACCACATAAATCGCAAATGAAGGACCTTTCTCCACTGTGGCATTTTCTATGAATGTTTAAAGTTTTCTGATCATAAAATGCCTTGCCACAGTCACCACATTTGTGATCTTTTTCACCTGAAAATCAAAATTTCATTAGGTTTTGATTCTCATATTTTTATAACTACAAGTAAAAAGTAACCGTATGTATAGTTTTTGATCAAATTTTGCAGATGCCAGTTTTTGGAAAGTTCTGATTATGCAGGAAAAAATTCAGAAATTTCTCTTGTAATTAAACTTTTTAAAATTACTGCCAGTGTTTTTACTCAACCCCACTTGGTTTTGGTTATTTTATGGCTTACTTTTAAAAAATAACTACAAATACCCATATTCGCGCTAAGTAATTTGTCAAATTAAAAATTAAATCACAAAGAAATACATAATAAAATGTCCAGTTGCTATACATAAAGTAACTAGGGGAATTAGGCTCCTGGAACAAAAATCAATCCCATTGAGATTATCGATTATCAACATTATTATTGTATACTCAGTTCACCATTGACTCATTATATTGCATTGTATATTGCTATTCATACACACCTTTATGAGTTTTCATATGATCCGTTAGGTGTGAAGCCATTTTGTATCTGTTTAAACATATGGTACACGCATAGGGCTTCTCCCCTGTATGACTTCTCATGTGTATCTTTACGTCGCCGGATCGTTTAAACTTTTTGCCACATGCATTGCAAATGAACCTGAAAATTGTATCCCATTATTCTTACTTTAGCTACCATTTATTTCTTTGGTCGACAATTCCACCTGTGCATAAATGCACTTGCAACAACGCCTAAACCAAGTATTGAAAAAAATTGACCTATAAATTTCTTGGAGTTTTGTTTACAGGCTGCCTGGGTCATCTAATCAAAACTTTTACTGGTAATGAGGAGTCACAGATTCAGCTAAAAAAGAAGGGTCTTCTTGTTGACTGCAACATTAATTACTTTATTTGTGTAGGCTACTACCAGCAAGTTTGAATAAAACTTCCCCTTCTTAGAACATTTAATCTGTTGATTTCTTTCTCAAATATCCCAATGAGTGTAAACTAACTTTTGTAGACTATTACCATATAATTATAAATAGAGCAATGCGAAACCTGGGTTTTATAATAGACAACAGTAATTAACTAACTCCGATTTGCTTCGAGCTATTTGACGATTCAGTAGGCTCTGGAATTGAGTATCAGTGTGTGTTATATAAGTACTACATACATTCACATACAATGTGTGTTATATAAGTAATATTGAAACTGTTCAGAGAGCGTTTTTTTTTGTTATCATATCAATTATAATGCAATTAGCTGCGCATATCAAATTGATTCTCTTCGTTCAAACGTTTCATCTTGATGTACTAACTCTACTGAAAATTTTGAATGGTACTTGTTTTTGGCTAGCTCACATGGGTTATACAAGCCGTAATACCTCAATGTTTCGCAATTCCTTTTCATCATGCTAACTACGAATTCTACTCGTCCCTTAATTTGTTCATCAAGTTAAAGCGAAGTGATAAAAATAAAAGTTTAAAAAAATAATTTTTTTGATAACAATAATTATTAGAACATATTTCCTATATCATAAGGATTAAAATAACCAACAATTTGTTTATTATTTTCATACAGGATATCATATTAAAGTGCCTGAAAAACTATGCTTTTTTAACCTTTTATGTATTTCATTTTTAATTTTCATTTTTTTGTTAGATAATTTGATGGTATTTCAATTATTCCAACCTAACGGTAAAATTTATTTTTATGATGTTAGTAATAATAACTAGTATATTCATCCTAAATACGTCCATCAAGGAAATTAAAATAAAAAAATTTAACAAAAATTAAAATAAATTTAGCACTAATTAATTCAACATTAAAATTGGGAAAACAACGGTAGGCGGTGGCATTAAGTGCAATAATTAAAAATTAATTACTTAACAGACAATAGCAAATAATGGAAAAAATATTTTTTCTTCTCCCCTATGTAAAATACCTAATTACACACCGATCTAGCGTGCACTTTACCAGTCAGTTTCGTTTCTCGCGGATCCGAGGCACTTCGGACATTTCCGGGATTTTACCGCACGGGTTTGGGAGCAATCAATCGGATGTTTTTGGAGATATTTCCCACGTTTTGAACTTTGACGTTTGTCAATTCTGACGGTCATGTAAGTAAGTAGAGTTTGAAACATAACTGACAAAACTGATATTCGTGATGCACATGCGCATAAAGTAAAAAGTTGACTGACTTTTTAATGTTAATGTTCTTTAGTGGAACTGCATGTAAATCTGGATTCACTTTTCAATATGAATGTTAAATTAGTGTAAATGTTAATAATACATTTGGTGACATTGTAATTTCCTGTTCTACCAACCTACACAATTATCAAGGTTATGAGGATATTTTTTACTTTATTTACATTACAACCATCAAGCAAAAGTATGCTTACTTTTTATGATCCGTATGTATTAGCATGTGAGCTCTTAAAATTGAACTGGAGTGGAATGCGTTGCTGCAGATCTTACACTTGTAGGGTTTTTCTCCCGAATGTTGGCGACAGTGGATGGTCAAATTGTGGCTATATCGGAATGTTTTGCCACAGTCGGTACACATGTACTTTTTCTCCATTGTATGGCTTCTGAGATGAATTCTCAAACTGAATTTTCGAGCAAAAGATTTATCGCATATTTTGCAAGTATGTGGTTTTTCAGCTGCAAAAAAAAAACTGATGCGAAATTCCCTTGCTTGAATTATACAGTATATCACATTCTCAACTTGTGAAAATTTCTAAATTTGGTACTTCCAATCATTTTTGTATATTATGCAACAAGTTTATAAAAGTGTAGTATAGTTTGAGTGAGTCAGTCATTTCTGTCATTTCCCAAACCAATATTAAATGGCAGAATTGCGATGCCATCAGCATTGAAGAATGTAATTAAAATAAGAAAAATCCTTTTTTGCAATTCTTAAATAAAAAGTTCAACAATAAACGAGGAGCCTTTATACAAAATTAAATGGAGCTTCTTATAAATTAATTTTTACAAAAACGAACACACTTGGATTTGGATGCTGGTTTTGAACTACATGTTCTTATACAAACTAAAAATTCATTAAAACTTACAAACATACTCTAAATTATGGAAAGTGTTTAAAAAACCATGCACCATCTCTAGGCTGGATGTTCGATAATATGCTTTACTTAGAACTGGTCCAGAACTGTCTCCACGTATTAATTTTTTGAATTAAGCAAAAACCTTCAGCACTTTTACATGGTACATTATATAACATATATGGAAACGGTTACAGGTACTGTAATCCCTAATTAAATTGAAATTTGAACTTAACTTACACTTATGTATAATCATATGTTTTCTAAGATATCTAGGGGTTGCAAAGGACTTCATGCAAATATTACAAATGGCTGGTTCTACCCCTTTATGTTGTCTCATATGCAGTTTCTGATCAAACAGACTTTTACAGATTTTCCCGCACACATCACAAGAGTATTTGACTTCCTTTCTAAAATTTGCTACATTATTGCCAACTTAATGTCGGTTCTCACATTTACCTATGACTATATAAATGTCTTTTTAGAGAATTTTTCTTATATTCCTTACTAACATTTTTGGTGCAAATGTGACAAAAATGTAAATCATCTTTGGGATGAAATGTGTCATTATGTGCTTCTTGCAGCTGATTATCAACAAAACTCAAGCTGCATATACTACAAAAAACTTTTAAATGATGTTTATAAAAAAAATATTTGCTAATAAGTAATTAGTGCTACCTTTTGAAGTTGATTGGGCAAATAATTCATGGTCACTTGAATCCTTTTTGCTTAGTATTGTGTCCAATTCACAATTATTAGATTCTTTGGCAAATAATTCATGGTTACTTGAATCCTTTTTGCTTAGAATTGTGTCCAATTCACAATTATTAGGTTCTTTTCCTACCTCTGATTGTGAGATGCTTAATACTTCAAGAAGCACTCGATCACTATTTTCAATTTGTTCTTTAAATTCTATCAACTCATTTAGTTTACCTACACAGCTATTGCATATGTTTTGTGGTAGATGGTCGTTCACATGGATCTGAAACAATCTACAATAATTAATCCAAAGCGCAACACGATAACTTTACTTGGACTGAAGAAAGTTGCTGGATAAAATTCCTACAATTTGTAGAAAAGATGTTTAACAACTCTTTTGATTCGTTAAGACAAATTCGGCAAATTTTGTGAAAAATTAATTGCGACGGAGGACTGTACATTTTGGCCAATTCTTAAAGTTCTTTTTAGTTTATTTACAAGAACTCTTTTTTAAATTTAAAATATTCGAGGTTAACTTCATAGATAATGGAATAATATGCTGTGCCTGAAATATTCCCAATCTTTCATTCATTGTTTCTGGAAAGGAGAAAAATGTAGTATATGCTCATGCGTATTAAAAATAGATTATAAATTTTTATTTCGCGTTTTTTACTGTCGCAACCTGCTCTCTACATGTGTGTGTAAATTTATAAAAACAAAAATATCGAACATACATGCTTTGGTAATTTTATGTCGCTAAAACTTTAATACGACTTATCATTGAATAAATAAAATGAGAAATTTAATAAAATATCAATTACCGCACTACTGACATCTAGCGCCCTTCGTGCCAAAAACTTGATTTCAACAATTTTGCATTCACATTTGATCAGAAGATGTCGCACTGATTGTTGCCAATATCGTCCAAGTCGAGAGGTGGAGAACGCATGTGAAATTTTCATGTTTCTTGTCAGTTAGTTCCATGTGGGCAAGGGCATAGCAAGCGCTTCGGATCGTATGGCTTGATTGTGTTTATAGTTTTGTTTTTTCTTTTATTTCTGTGCATTTCCAATAAGTAGTGCGCGTATATTTATGCGAGTATGTAACTTTTCTGTTATATTCTCCATTATGTCTTATTTTTTTCTGCCGAAAACCAGATTTTGAAAAAAAAAACGTTAATTTGAAAGCAAAGCAAACATAACCTTCGCAGAGTCGGCAGCTGTTTGGCCGAATTAGGAACAGGTAGAAACGGTTGTTGGAAATTCAACGAGACTGTCAAATTGTTTATTGTTTTGTACTGTGATTATTTATTTGCAATAAATTAGTGACATTGGCAATATGTTGGGATATACGACTTCACGTGACGGTCTCCTACAGTTAGAAGAAGGTGTCTTGGGCACCGTAGTTCAAAAGGAATCAATCTTGGCAGTATATGACGTAGATAAAACTCCGCTTGGCAGGTATGTGGACTTTTATTTGGATTTCGTATTAATTTTAAAACGTTAGGATTTATCTGGAATATTATGCATGTACTTGTATTATATGTTATCAAGATAAGTAGTTAATTTATTTGCGAAATTCGTTTATGGAAACATGTTATGTTATCAAGGATTTTTTAAGTTGCGTTAAACCACCTATAAAATATTAATTTGATATCAAATTTATCAAAGAATTAGACGGTAAATTGTCCTCATAGTTGGCGAAGTCAATCGAGTATTTCTAAAGGTTTCTTTAGTTATTCAGGTTTCCTAAATTGCTTGGGTCGGAGGGAATAAGAACTACTAAGATCAAATTTAAGGTATTTTCGCAGGTAAATGGGCGCCACCCAACTTTTTGCATATTAATTACTTAGCGTGTTTGCAACGTACTTTTAGCTTTAGCGTTACCTCTTATTATTGTTTTTTGCATTTTGATTTTAGACGTAGGATGTACCTACCTAGAGTTTTGGAAACCCAAACTAGGATGTTGATTTTTTTTTAAATTTTACTTCAATCTTTTATTACTTTCGAACTCTATTTTTTTTACTCTACATAGCTACGTTTATTTAATTGAGTTAATATAAGCCATAGTACTACCAGTCGGTTAAAAAGTGATTAAAGTAACTTGTCACTAAGAAAATTATAGAATTTAAGCAAAGCATTGAAAATACAAATACCTATGTCTATGCGAGCTGTAATTACCTACAATGCTATATATTGGTTAGTTTGGAAGTTAAATCACAACCAAATTTTTTGGTGTAAGGAATTTATGTTTAATATTCAAAGTTTCATCTAGGTATGCAGCAATTGGTTTGGTTAATAAATATGTGTGTGAAAATGCCTTTTCCCTGTAAAAAGGACTCCCGAAAATATTTTCAGCAGTACCTAAATAAAATTGGGGTCATATTTTGCACACGAGCTAAGGGGTTTATGGTGCTATTCATTTTGCCGACTAAGTGTTTCTTATGAGAATATTTGGTGAAACTATGCACTCATTAGGCGTGTCCCGCAGAATATTAATTTAAAGCGTTAGATTTATTAAGCACCGTCGCCAGTTACGTTTTAGGTACTTTAATAAATAATAAAACTTTAATTTATAGTTGCCCAGAATTTGAAATTTGAAAGGATTCAAATACATATAATATGGTTGGGTAAATGTTTGTCTTTATTTTGAAAGTGAGTTTAAAAAAAAAAAGGTAACTTCAGAAATATTCTAGAGGTAGGTAGGTCCTAGGAGAATAAATTAAACGTCAGATTATTGCCCAGTGAAAATTTTAAAAAAGTTAGGATCCAAGAATCCACCGTGGCAACGAAAGACAGGGATCACAAAATATTGCTCAATCAAAAGTTGACATGGTGTGAAGTGCAGAAGTGCATATTGGATGTATTTTTTAAACTATAAAATAAATAACCCAGCATCGTGGTTTCTTCCTAAGCAGTGATTAGTAAACATTACAAAAACTAACGAAAAAGAAACGATGGGCGAATACGCGGTAGAAGGAAATAGGAAATTTAAAAACGAAAAAAATGAATAACTTAAAAAACCGAAAATTGAAATAAACTCGTATATCGTGCTTAAATTGTTACGTTGAAAGTTTCTTCGGGTTAGCTTTTGGAAGAATTGAATTCGAACTCCCGACCAGTAAAAAAACGATGGTTCATTTATGGTCTTATAAGCGATCAGCACCATTAAAAAACAAAAATGAGTACTATGGCACTCATGCGCTAGACTCGCCTTACTGCGTGAGAATTTGCAGCGGAAGCGGCGAACTATCCGAGAAAAATGTACAGTCTAGGCAGTGTCGGCGCTCTGAAGGCATGCTTTCAAATTGATATTCGCGTACAGCACAAAGTTTTAATCCGACGGCTGAGGTTGAGCGATCTCGGCAGAGAAAGTAGGCTAAGTATTCGTTTTTCGAGAAACGGTCAATCGCATGCCGGTCCAACAGCCGCAAACTCGCATCTCCGATGCGTAATCGCTACTCTGTCGCGTTACGGATTAACCCAAAAACAAGCACGCTCGCGACGGTGCCGATTTATACTATCGGTGACGTAAAATCGAGTATAAAAATCACCAATGTCGTTACATTCGAAAGAGCCACGGATAAAATGCCTATAGAAAGTTGCTGCCATTTTTTTTTCTGTAAAGACCGTTTGATAATTTTTCACGTCCACAATCATCTTTGCTGGTATTGCTGGTACGTAATTAAAAGCTTTTAGGGAACTGTGAATGATAACACTGATGTAACTGCATATAGATTTAGTGATGTTGCAACATTTGCACTGTCCAAGCTACTGTCCCTTGTTAACTTGGATCCAAAATGGTAGTGCAAATATATAGCTGATACCAAATAAACGTCATTACATATTTTTCTTTAATTAAAATATAAACAATATTTCAATGCTTAATTTTAAAGGTATTTACCCAGAACTTGATTTTATTTGTTCATTTATCGCTCATATTAAAAAGATCTAACCATAACATTCAAACCTCTTAAATATTAATAATTAGGTATTATGAATATATGTAGAATATTTTTATTTATTATTCTTACTGATATGACTAGAATCACTAGAGTCGTCGACAACATGAGTGGAAGAATCTCCTGCCTGTGCGTTGTTTGTTCCCTGTTATGTCATTCGTCATGTGTGTAATGTGTTTATCCCCATTTCAAGGGTAAGAGTTTCCAGTATCTTTTCCCACATTTTTGAATGAATCTTTCGCTCGGTGTCATCTACCACCTACTTCTTTGTTGCTTTATAGAATGCATACAATTTTTGTTACCCTGTCACCAAGGTTAGAAGTTCAGATTTCGATGCTATGTTCGGATACCCAAGTTTTTGTTTGGTTAATCAATTCTGAATTTCAGCCTTGTTTCAATAACGTGCAATGCTAAGGAGCATTGATACATGGCTCACTCAAGTCTCGAGTCAAGTTCTTCAACAGTTGATTTTCGAACCAACGAAGAATGTTTTCCTACGTGACTAAAGTTTACTTGTTACGTGCTATATGTTTAGCATTTCAGTATTAGTCGTATTACGAAGCAAATAATTCATTTAAGGGTTTAACGGGGTTTTCAATAAAATTTGTTCGACCCATTTAACCTTCCCAATTTTATAGCTAAGTATGTTGTTTACATATTTTGAATTTAGTCGTTTCTTCTGCTTTTTGGCCTTTTGGTTAGTTTTGTTTGTCTGTTTCTTTTTATAGATTATAAATATGGATAAACATTATCTGAAGAAGTGGGAACGTGGAAAACGGGTGACACTACGTTCCTTTTGGCTGGAAGGCTGGGTGTGCGAGGATCAATTTCATCTTTGATGCGCCCCTATTGGATTCAGTTTTTGTTCCTTCGCTTTTTCCCGATGTGTTTGTTTTCAAAAATTTTTGAGAGTTGCAGCATAAGTTCCTGTAGTATCAGCTAGCATATTCAGGGCCTCTATATATCTCTAGTAGCTATTTGCATAATAGTGTTTTTTTTAATGACTTACGACTTATGAATCACGCAGTTTGATTTTATAAAAGTTATTCAGGTTATTTCTATGCGTGTATGAGATTTTGTGACATTAAGTCGTGTTTTTATGTATTTTAATAAAAATCATTTTAATATGTACAACTTGAAAGTTTCAAAGTTAAATGTTGAAAATTTCCTCAATTTCCGTCGATCCACTGTGCGTCGCAAAATCGCCGCGTTTAATTTTGATCGCGACGTGAAATCGAGCCTGAAATATCATTCACCGTTTAATTAATTGTGGGTATGCATTTGCGACGCTAAAACCAGTTTAGAAGGCTTTACGTTAAAGGTTTGTAGGACATTTTCACAATTCATAAACGTGTATCACGAATTATTCGTGTTCCGCCCGTTGAGTCGGTGGTCGTTTGAAAGTATTCAACGCTAGTAAAAAAAATTAGGGCCGTATTATGGCTCGTCACAGTTAGTTCATTGAGTTTTTAAAACATTTTGTGAGCAAAATGCATGATACTGGATATTTCAGGTTTCAAGGCACAGACTTATGTGGACGACGGTGGTTTTAAGCAAAAACGTTTATATTAACAGGGGGTCAACCTTTGGTTATCTTTTTCTATTAATCTGGCTCACTTACATATAAATGATCCCCAGAAGATTGTCATTTGAAGCGTTTTAAGCATTTTTACATTTTTGCGAGTAGAGGCTTCTTTTCCCCTTCCCAACAAACCTGTTCGTAGTACCCCTTTAATGTCGTCCAGTAAAATTTGTTCTTTCTGAGGATAAAATTTAAGCGGGGTGGGGGGTTATAAAAAAAGCCTTTACCTTGCCTTAGTATCACCCTGTAGTTTTTAAAAGTGTTTAAAATACTTAAATGATGATTTTCTAGAAAGTATTTACCATAAAATAAATAAACTCTTATGGGGGTGTTGAAATTAGATTAAATTAAACCCAAAAAAATCATAACATTACTTTACAGAAAACTTGTTTGGGAATATTTAACAAGATTCGTGACCCATTTATCTTTTTTCATACATTTTTCAGAAGATGGATTAGCGATTATATGGTTTTCGTTCGACATACTAAAACCCTGATGACGTAGATATTACTGCAGACTAAATTTTCCAGAGAATATCTAGACGAGAATCGTTTTCAGATATTTTCTACGTGAGTGCTCTGCCTCCTTTGTGTATATACTGTTAAAATATTTCTTTCATCGCCTTTTAAGTCGTGACATACAATATTCCCAAAATGGGTGAAAGATATTAACACATTATAAAAAGTTACAGTACAGTACCGCTGTTTAAACATTGATTTACATAGCTTGCGGTGGGAAACTACACAAAGGCCCCGTTCTGTGTATTGTGTATATATTTTTGCTATGTAGTGAATCATTTACAGTCAGAATGATTTCTTTATTTTCGATAACCAGTTCGTCTTACCAGCCGCTGCCTTTTTTAAATTATTAAAATTATAAGAATAAGACCCATGGGATTGAATTATACAGATTGTATC